CAGAGTAGCTGGGGAGTGGGAAGATGAGAACTGGTGAGTGGGTAGTACAAGTTGAATACGCGGAGTATCTGTGGAGCTGGAAGATGAACACTGGCGACTGTGTCGTACAACTGTAGTACGCGGAGTAGCTGGGGAGCTGGAAGATGAGAACTGGCTGCCTCAACTTACTCGGACACACACACAGACAGAGACGCATATACACACGGACATAGATACACACACAGAGACCCACACATTACCTCAACTCACTCGATTTGACACTTCACACTGCACACTTAACAGAGAACTCGCACTCAGACTTCCTACGCGATGAAAAATGCTTTCGGGCCACTCGTCGTCTAGTATATGTTTTTGTAGAACGAGGCCATGAATGATTCGATTTCCAAGGCACGACTCACAGATGCACCTGTTGGGAGGCCCAGTCTCGCAGCTTTCAGCAATTTTCAGCAGCTAGGACCCAATGTACCAGGTTGATGTAGAGGTGCAGCAACCGTTTATGTTACAAAGCATTACATCAACTCTATCGTCTGTTGTGGAGGGGAATCATCCTGGCTTGATTCCAGTGCCCAGGCCACGGCGCTTCTTGCGCGGCATTCTCCCAGATGCGTTGCAAGGAGCTCGAGAAACGACATGAAACGACATTGTCGCGGGCAATGTTTCTCATGCGAACCATGTTGACCAGGATGAAAGGGCACAGAGAGAGAGAGAGAGTGTGTGAGTGAGTGAGTGAGTGAGTGAGTGCTCAGACCGTACATGACGGACGCCGGACGCCAAATTCTGAGATTCAAGAAACGATAAGAAGGGATTATATAGAAAAAGATATGATATGACGATTTATATATGGATTAGGAAAGACTAACTGCGAACAGATAAAACCAAGTTTAGACATCTAAGATTAGAAAGCAACAAAATGATACAAACTGAGATTAGGAACATTGACGCCAGGATGTACCACTTGTTCCAAAATCTATGCAAGCCATGCATTAGATTGCATTAAAAGGAAATCGTAAGAAGGGCATGCAATGCAGTTGACGCTTATATGATAGAAGTTTGATCTTGTGAGGAATGTAAGAATGTAGAAGTACTCCAGTACCCAGTTTAGCGGTTGCAACTATACTTGCAGACATGTAAACCCTTTTGCTTAGAACATCGTTTTTAGAACATCCTGATTTGCACACTTAGAACGTCCAGGGATTGCTCGCTTAGAACATGCTGCGCCAGCACACTTAGAACACGACTATATGTGAGAAAAATGGATAGATGCAAGAGGGTTGTATATACATATACTGGTGAAGTGCAAGATAACGAGGTCTTTGGCCTGGCGTAGTGGAGTAGCAGAAAAGATCAAGACAGGTCTACACAATAAGGCTTTCTATGATGAAACAAAAGAGCAATCATGCATGTGCCATGGATTCCATTGTGAGTGCATGCGCTTAGAACATGGGGGCGCAAGCAGCACGTTCCTGTCGCTTGGTGTAGGGGGTCCGGGTAGTGGTGAATAGCAAGACCACCTGAAAGCTGTGGGAGCAAAAGGGGGATAGGAGCGACACTGTTGATTCGCGTATGAATAAGTGGAAAAGTTCAATGCAGGTTTACATAATAAGACTTTCTATGATGAGACAAAAAGAGCAATGATGCATGTGCCATGGATTCCTCTGTGAGTGCATGCACTTAGAACATGGGGACATAAGCAGCACATTCCTGTCGCTGTGTAATTCCAAGTCGCGTGCTTATGAGCTGTGTAATTATATACAATTAACATATGCATTTCCACACTGAGCGCTGTGACTTTTGCAATGTCTCAAGTGTTTACAGGTGTTTATACAAAGCCTTCCACATGTTCTATGAGTACATGCGAGGCATGTCTATGTGTATGGCCTCATGTTCTATGTCTGTGTGTTCAACATTCTTAACACCCTTCACTTGGAACGTCGGCGTTGTTCTTACCCATTGCTTAGAACATATTTGCCAGGGAGAAAAAGAAAGTGTTTTTGCCAAAAGATGTTCTAAGTGTTTATCGTACAGTAATAGTACTTAAAAAAGGGCAAGCATACCAAGAAAGGAACAATAACAAAAGATTTGTATTCTTTGCTTGTAAAGGCTGCAGCTGGCTGAACTTGATTGGTTGATTTCACCTCTCGATGTCGAGGGGGAGAAGTTCCAGAGGATGAACCATAGGCCCACCACCGCGCGGCACACACAATCCGTGCCGTGCTCGCTCAATTGGCCATTCAACTTGCCCTGACCAGTGGGTTTCTCAGCAGGTGGGGCGAGTGTGATGGTCTTGTCTAGGTTGCAACCCTACCGCTTCTGGCGCTGCTGTGGGCCCTTGCCGGGAGGTGGACACAAAGTGAGAAGGAAGGGCGAGGGACGGTGTTTGCATTGAAAAATATAAATATGTACAGTCATGCGCCTTGTTTCCTCATTCGAGCAAAGTGCTAAAGGTCGGCGCTCACGTTTCTTCAAAATGAGAAATTTGAATTTTCCTTGGAAAAAACGATAACAATCCCAAAAATGATACCTAGCCTTGTGACACTGCACATCTTGGAATCTATCTTTGCCTATTGACACTGTTGACACTCGAAACAGTGTATGTCCACGGTCTTTTTGCATATGGTTTGCCATGCTAGTTGGACATTCCATTTTGTTGCTCATGTTCCCTTCTCTTTCTTCGATGGGAAACAACTATGGGTTTAGACCGACACCAAAAACCATACCAAACGATTGCTACTTCATAGGTCTGTATCCCCGCAGAAACCACCTGCCCACTTACGTGGCACTACTACTGCCACTACTTCTACTTCTGCTACTACTTCTAGCACCACCACCACCGCTGCTACTACTACTACTGCTACTACAACTACAACAACAACAACAACTACTACTACGACGACTACTACTACTACGAAAACGACTACGACTAGTACTATATAGTACTACCACTACTACTACGACGACTACTACTACTACTTCTACTACTACTACTACGACGACGACGACTACTACTACTGCTACTACTACTGTTCCATGACGACGACGACCACCACCACCACGACGACGACGACTACTACTACCACTACTACTACTCCTCCTCCTACTACTACTACCACTACCACGACGACGACTACTACTACACGACGACGGACACCACCACCATCACGACCACGACGACTACTACTACTATTGCTACTGCTGCTGCTGCTGCTACTACTACTACTACTACTACTACTACTACTACTACTACTACTACTAGTACTACTAGTACGATGACGGCAACGACGACGACGTCTACTACTTCTACTAGTCAACACTTGCAAGACCACCTTCCAGAGCAAATTTACATTTAGACCATACCTCCAAAAATTGCACATGGATGGAAAAAATGATAACAGTCCAAAAAACGATACCTGCCTTAAAGCGTCTCACCAAACGACTCCTAGTTTTGCCAGTCGCTCATTTGGAAACATTTTTGGCAGAGCTGTGCTCGGAGCGCTTCAGAAATACCCACTCTCTGAAGAATGGGTTTGCATTTCCTACGGGTGGGCTCTCGATTCTGAGAACTCAGCAAAACCCCCTTTATCCATTTACTACTTGCACTAGTGGCTTTTACGGTGCACTCGCCTATGCCAATGCTTGTTCTGCACTTTGCTAGCCTGAGTCAGCTCGTAGCGGTTCCACACGTATGGGCCGTATGGGGGCCAAAATCTGAACGAATGAATTGCACAATGAATTGCCTTGAGTACACTTTGGAAGAGTTTTGACAGGAGGCACTGGCCAGAAGGACATTATAATTCAGTAATTGCAGCAAACGGATGTACATTGAATGAATTAGCGGCATCGAGCAAGAGGTGGTATCAAAATTGTCCTCGGGTGTCCTGCAAGGTGCTGGTCAAATTGAAGGTGAAGAAGTAGCACCGAGAGATGAAGCCACGCGCAGCACTCCTCAGTGGATGTGACGATGATTGACGATGTGTTAGGGGTGGTATGTAGCGGCACTTCAATCATTTGGAAAACAGAAACATGCCACCCTCAATTGCAAGTGACCTTCAGCATCCAAAGTGCTGCACAAATTATTTGTCTCCTGTATGGACCTGATCCCGGTCTTCCACTTCCAGCAACCAAACATTCACCAAGCATCTCAAGCACAGAAGTTCAAAGCTTCATGTGATGTGGACTGTTCTGAAATGCCATGCAATGCTCATGTTCTGCATGCAATGTCTTCAGTGATTCCTGGTGACGTGCGTGCTTGGAAGCGGTGATGGGTTTACTGATTTTTGCTGATGCGCTTGGTGAGAATGTGTGGAGATTCATTCATTGCGATTTCGTCTCTGGCAATTTGGAATGTTCAGGTGTTCATTTCAGCAATTTTCAGCCGGTTTCATGATTTCTGATGCCGTGATAATTCCATGTCGGCGTGTGGTGCCTTATTGACTTGTGTCGCTTGTTCTCCTGACTTGCAGCAATTGTACTTTTCTTGTGTTCCAAGTGTTCCACTGAAAGCTCGCAACTTGGAGTACTTTGCACTGTTTGTACATCACATAGTGCAAGTCATTTCCACGCGGAAGCCCAAAGCTGAAGAATGGACTGAACACCTGCATTGTGGCGTGTGTGGAGAATGTTTGGCCCAGGTCTCAGGATACAGTTGACGAAGATGGGCTCAGCCAAAGTAGAGTCGCAGACTTGGTGTGCGGTGTGCGGAGTTTCCTTCAGCCCTCACATGTGAGGCTTGTGCAATTGTGCGGCATAGACTGTCAGATAGACGTTCCCAGCATGGAGACTGTGGATCCTGATTCAGTTAGATATCTGACATCACTTGGTTCCCGAGTGAGCTTTTGATGATAGCTTCCTTGTGCTTGAGTCAAGATGTTTCTCCTTGCATTGATCAACAAAGTTGCTAGCTGAATATGACTGTGGACGACGCGGGAATATGAGTGGCCGACATGCTGAGGCGACTGAAGATCGAGGTGGCTTGCCGCTACCAGTTTTCGATTGAACCCTTTTGGCCTTTTGATGCCTTTTTGGCTGTGTTGGCCCTTTTCAATGACCTTTCAAACTCATTCACCCTGCACTTGAGACCGGCCTTTTGTCGAGGCAGGAGATGCAGCGTGAGGCGCTGAAGCCTTCATGGCTAGAATCGGCTAGAATATATTCCTTTCAATATTTCCATGTACTGTAATTGGATTCGTGTCGTAGAAGAGAGCCATAGGCAACCTTGCACTCAATAATTTTGATTTGGGCCAAGGATGGCCAAGGTCCGGTACTTCTTTCAATAATTCACTTGACCATGTCTGAGGTGTTGCGAAAAGCGGTGCAGATGACACACCCGGAAACGACATGAGGTTGTTCTCGCAGACATGAGATCGGTCACACACACATATATATATATAATTATATATATATATAAAAGGGACTTCGAGGATCTCTATCTTTAACGGGCGATTAGAAAGCAAGATCTCCTCGCCACATTTGTTTTTCACCACGCGTGACTGTGCTTGCCTAGGCCTGAGGTGCTGGTCAACCTGCGTGGTGGCCTTGGGAATTGACCGAAGTTGCTGAGCTGAGCTTTCCAGTTTACCAGTTTCCAGTTGTCATTGTCCCTCTTCTGAGGACATGGGCATGGTCTTGCAAGGATTTTAGCCAGGCCCTGGGCCCATCTGGGTCCTGCCAATCCTGCCATGCCCTGGGACTTTGGACCGATTTTAGTCCTTTGTGATGCAGTAGGCGAAACTATAACTTGGGGTTGGGGTTTGAAGACTTATATAGGTGGAGCATGGTGGAGATGTGCCTTTTATGTTGCTTGTAGACGCCCCTGCCGAGACTTCTTCACTGAGTTCTGTCGCCTGGGATGGAGAAGTGGCTGTGACCTGCCCACCCTCCCACGGCGTATTCCCGGACATTTTGCCCCAGAGAGTGGACTGTTTTCATATGTCTTCAATGTCTTCATTTTGTGAGTGATGGAGGTCTAGCGCCAAACCCAGGTTATATTCTGTTCAAATTTGGTTCGCTTAGTTGAGGTAACTGAGGTACAGATGGTACAGGCAGCCAAGACTGTGTATACACCCAAACCTTTGATCAAACAACATCAAACACATTCACTTAAAGATGCAAATTACATGAAAGAATATCACAGACAGAGCGAGCCATTTTCCTCGACATGCAGATTCAGTTCTGATGTTTGACAGCTTTGACTGCGGTATGTTTCACCCCATGTCGTCGACCGCAAGGCTGGAAAACCTTTCGCACATCCTGGTTTGGGCTCGAGGTCCTGGAGTGCACAGCGACTGTGTTAATTCTCGTCCCTGAGGCGTGCGTATAGACATATAATGGGGGGTACCTTGGGAAAATATTCCAGGTTACACCGTGAGTTGATGGAATATGTTTTTGGGAATATTTTAGGAATATTTATAGCCCTGGGCATAGGATACCGTATACTGGACACATACCTGGAATATTTTTTGTTAAGATGATATGTTGGCAGCACTACAAAGAATAAACAATTCCAGAATGCCATGTGAACATGTACCTATAGAATATTTATTTGCAACAACTCAGCATATATACCTGGAATATCAACCCAAGGGACATGTTTGTGCGATGTCGCTGACGAGATGCTTCGACATGATTCGACATGCTTCGACACATTTCGACATTCTATGATAAGCTCGAGGTCGAACAGTCGAGGTGGAGCTGTCGAATTGTCGAGTTTTCGAGAACTGGAATGTATATTTATTATCAATAACTGGACCGATTGTGGAATATAAAACGGGTGTATATAGTTATTCCACTTACTAAACTACCTATTGGAATACTTTATTGTGACTATCTGACACTATACTGGAATATTATTTTAATATGCCTGCAGGTATCGACGGTCAGGGGTATCTAAGTCACCCCCCATGACATATATATATATGCACATGTATATTATTATTATGTTTATATATATATGCAGTATATTTTGTAGGGACAGGTGTGAATAACAATTGCTTGAAGTATGTGTAATTGTTTGACGCGGGTAGTTTTCAATTCTCCACTGTCATGCCAAGCACGGCTTGAGCATGCGCATCAGGAGTTTGTAAACACTTTGCCTGGCCCTGCCAGCTAGCAGCTAGCATGACAGCCCCAGTCAGTGCAAGAAATTAAATAGCAATTCAGCGACATTATTCTTAGAGGGAGGCTGAATTTGTGGGAACCAAATCTGCACATTGTCGAACGTTGTGGCGCTCCCGAGGCCTCAACCACCGGCCTGCGTGTAGAATTGCCACGTCTTCGCTTGCAGGGTTCCTGGCACCTGGTTTCGCTTTTTCAATTGAATCCCTCTTGCAAAAGGACATTTGTTTGTACATGTTCCTCCAGATTTCTAGCCGCTCGCAGCCTCCCCAAAGTGTCATATTTTTTAAGAAGCGAGTTTCCAGATGGAACGCATTTGCCAAAGCGCCACCGGGTCTTGTGTGGTTAGGACTGAGGGTGATCATCATATGGATTTGCTTCCGGTCTTCGAGATCATCCAACATGGGAGTTTTTTTAGTCAACGTCGTATTTGCCAGAACCATTAGGTCCTTCGCGACACATCAGAATAGGCCGGGCTCCCAGCACTGAGTTGGCACTCCAAACAACCACACTAACTTGCGTTGTGGATGACTTTTTTGGCCGCGAGATGAGGCTGTACTGTGACCAGCATCGAGGATTCTGGCTGGCAGTCACGCGCTTGACACAACGCTACAGTCACCTTGGGGTAAGCTTCCACATGTTACCAGTTGGCTACGCTACAATGTTCACACGAATGGTTGACCTGCTGGCCCCTAGACCAAGTGGTCAAAGTTGCAGTATTGCATCCAAGAAACTTGCCTTGACTCGTATCAAATGGCTATACATAATCGCTACATTACACGCTCCGACCTGCAGTACACAAGCTCAGCGTTCAATACCTCACCATTAGACTGCGTGCAGATTATGGACCTAGTCCTGCTGGAGGTGTTTGTGTTCTCTTTCTGGATTTCCCACCGCAGGTCCACAATGATCCAGAAGATTCCCCGCCTTGTGTGCACATTGCGTTTGGAATTTTGTTGGGCGTGCGGCTTTCACGGGGCATTGTTCCGGCTGCGCATAGGACATGATGTCATTGGTAGGTGCGGGAGTTGAAATGAAGATACATGAAGATAACATTTGTTGATCTCGAAGAATGGGTGAGTACAAGTATGTACAAGTACATCCTGTTGGCAATTGGAAAAGCCTAGCATGCAATATCGTGCAATGACTCCATGGGCACCTCAGGATACCCTGAGACACTCGAAAGAAGTGACACGACTTCTTGCACAATGGGGCCGCTGCCCCAGACTTGACCTAGAAGAACACTTTTGGCAGAGCTGTCAGGCTAGGTGAACCGAGGTGAGCCTCGTGATTTTGGTTTTTTGGCATGTTCTCCAGGCATTTTTTCATTTTCCCAACTTTAAGAACCGGAGTGATCCCCTGTCGCTTCCCGGGTTTCTCTCTTCAAGAGATACGGAGCTTTATTTTGAAGCTGTGCAAGCTCTGGACTTGGAGAACTTTCAAAACGCAACGGCATCATGTAAAAGACATTCCAGCCCGAGGGAAATGCCAATCCTCCTTATAAGAGAGCACGCATATTACACACACAGGTGTGGGCGGTTGCTGGTTTTTGCACGCGTTCGAACAATCGTTTTTTGCACGCGGATCGACTTACTCGTTTTTGCACGCGGGAGTATCTTATGAACATAATCTTATGTATATATTTATCTTAGTATTTTGTCATGTATGTGTATGTTCGTAATAGCTGCTATAGCAGACTGTTTGTTGCAAAGTTTGTTTAGATCACACTCAATGTTTGTTTTTCGCGCACGTCTTGGAACTTTTAAGACTGATTTTGAGCTCTGATCGTGGACACCTGAGCCAATCCACCGACGCAAGTCAGCAACACTCGTGAGAGCAGCAAAAAGTCCAGCAGACAGTGATTTCAGTTTCGAACGGTGTGTGTGTGTGTGCAAAGATGTTGACCTTGTCCAATCTGGCAACCCCTTCAGCACTTCAGAGTCACACTGTTTGGTTGGCAACTGCAACCCACCCCACCCCCCACCCTCCCACCCAACCCGCTCATTAGTTTGCGTGCGCAGATGAGTTTGCATGGCAGAAGAGTGCTTTGAAAGGCAATCAAAAGTAAGTGTGTGTGTGTGCCCCTTGTAGTCACAGGAATCCTTGCGGATTGTACTTGGCAGTTGTTCTTTTGATCAGCAGGGGAGTGGAGCAGGCCTGCAGAGCTCCACTTAACAAAGCTCTCTGCAGTGTCCTGAGCATTTTACCTGAGACGTCCAGTGACGTACCTGCTCGTTCTGACCTGAAAATTCCCAATGGTCCCTGCTTTTAACTACAACAAGATTCTGGCCTTTGCAACGGTTCTTCATCCGCAGACTCTGCACGTTCCGTCGTCCTTGTCGACCGATCGTTTCGCAGTTTTGCCATTTGGAATCTAGACCTTTGGAGGTTTGCGGACTTGGGCAGCTCTGAACCCTGGGCGTGTGGCACCGCATTCGCATCAGTACGCATTTCTATAAGTGTGTCTCTCCTAGTGAGAGCCCAGGGTGACCCCGCGGAGTGGCCCCTGTGGACCCGTTGAACGGGTGTACGTTTTCGCCCTTGCGCCCGGGACCAGAGTAGTTCGCACCGGACAAAGTAGGCTCAGACCAAAGTCATTTGCCAAGATTTGATAGATTATTGAATTCCAAGCTGGCTCATGCCTTCACGTGACCGTAGCGGTCAAAGCTGCCAGCCATTTTGGCACGGCGTACGTGGCCGCAGCGGCCGAAGCTTGTTCAAGACTCGTTGGAGTCTGTCGTGAGCTTAGGTGCACACAGCACGTACACTTTAACTAGGCAAGTCTGCCTAGGTCTTTGGAATGAGGTTTGTTTTCATCGGTTCCCGTCCCCTTCATTTGGTTTCCCTTTTCATCCTTTTTCCCCTTCACACATTTCTTTTTCTCTTCTTTTCTTTCATGTCCTGTCATCTCACCCCTTTCTTTCTTTTGCGACACATCGGTCCTGGCCTTAGGCTGTACGCGCACAGCTACTGTACATTTAGGTTTAGGTCGCCCAGGT